TGCATATTTCCATAATAGCTGCTTAGCCTTGTTCCTCTCGGAAGGTGATAATTGGTGTGTCCACTCTTTTATGTAGCCGTCGAGGTGCTTCTTCTCCATGGCAGCTGGCTTTTCGGTGCTAGTTTCCAAATTAACTACAGCTTCAGCTGGTGTGCATTGTCCAACATCGGAAAATTGGCAAATTTGCTCTTGCTTGTTTGACAGGTTCAAAACTCTAACAGGAATTAATCCGTCCTTGTTGCTTTTCACCAGGGCATTCGCTATTAGGATGTTACTGTTTCTGTTTTCTGCTGGTTCCACCACCCACAACTTCTCGGCTCCACAATCTCCATTCATTGGTACCCATATTATTGCTTCGGCACAGGGCGGTATTATCTCTGGATGGTCCGTGGTCAGACGTCTAATGGGTGTACTTTCATCGTAGCCCACGTTTAACGGAATTTCGACGTTAGACCAGGTCATCACACGTTCTTTCATATCCAGATTGATACCAAAGGCAATCATAAAATCTGAGCCTATTATCACTTCGTCTACGATATCGGCAACTATAAACTCGTAATTCTCCGATTTATTGGCAATAGTTAGTCTCAGGGTAATCTTGCCGTGTACTGCCGCGGGCTCCCCCGTTGCTGTGCGCAGTCTGACTCCATTAAGTTGCGTTATTTTTCCCTTTACCAGATCTGATCTTACGATGGACTTTGATGCGCCAGTATCTAACGTCAGAACTCGCTTATCACCATTGATGTACCCAGTTGTTGTTAGGTTGTGACTTTCCTGTTGTACTATTGCTATGGAGATTGTGGGGCCATCGTCGATGGGAGCCAGTTCATGCCCCGCTGGACTGGCTCGATTTAGTTTAACTGTAACTCATTGGTGGACTGTTGGGCCATTCTTCTACCATCTTTCGTTGGAGGTGGTGACGATGACCTGGATCGTTTGCGCTTAGCTCTGCATTCGCGCGCAATATGACCTGCTTTATCGCAGTTGTAGCATCTAACCCTGGGCTTAGTCATCCCAACTAACTTTGTCTCTTCTATTACCCGCCTCATGGCGTCTTCGATCGAGTTAACGAGAGATTTGGGTTCGCAACCTTCGGTCTCCAGTTGGCGAATCTTGTGGGTCTGGGGCTTAACAACTATTCTTGCCGTCTCTTGGGCAAGGGCAAACGACACAGTTTCGGAAAATGATGCTTTTGGTGACGCATATGTTGCATACTTAATCTCAGGGTCACGTATGCCATTCACAAAGGTTTCGATTTTCATACGGTCCAGCAATGGGTGATCCTCTCCTGGATACGTCATTAGCACCAAACGTTCCACCTCAGCTGCAAAGTCTTGTAACGTCTCGTTTGCCCTCTGTACTCTTCCCCTTAATTCCATAAGGTAGATGTTTCGTTTATGTTCGCCACCGTACTTACGTTCCAGTGCAGCAATAACATCTTCATAGTTGTTTCTAGAAGCGACAGGAATACTCTGTATAACATCAGCAGCACTGCCCTTCAATGCCAGAAGTAGTGCAACCGCTTTGTCGCTGTCGTTCCACGAATTTCTAGAAGCCACTGTCTCGAACTGTAACTTGAAAACATTGAATGACGTAGAGCCGTCAAATACAGGAGGTTTGATTTTTAGTGTGTTATCAGGAACTCGCACCGGACCACCTTTGATTTCCAGTTCCGAAATTTTCTTCTCCAGATTTGTAACCCTATGGTCGTGGGACAGAAATTTCTCGTCAACCGACTGCACTTTCTTATCCAACTCTTTAATTTGGACCTCCACGGTTTCCACTCTCCTTCCAATAACTTCTGCAATGTACTCGAGTTTCTCGTTCGTTATTCTTGAATTTTCTTCGAACCTTCTGAAATTTTCCTCAAACATTTTGGCTAGGATTTCTCTGAAATCGTCACCCCTGGCAGCTACTGACGAGACTTCCCCACCGTTGGATTCGCCCATTTCCGATAAATCCACTTCATCCTTACTGTCAAACTCATATGTATCGATGTTCATACCACGGCGCTCGAACTCATCCAACAGACGTTTTTGTAGTTCAGCCTTGTTGCCAGTAGGGGACAATTCCAATTTATTAAGTTCCTTCTTCAAGTCTTCCACTCGTAGATCCTTAAACTTCATCGTAGTATTATCGTAATCTCACTTCCGACACCAATTGTTACGTTCTTGGATTTTACTTAATCCCGTGTAGACGTTGTTTTATTTCCCAATACAGCTCGTACCAAATAAAACGCGGGTTCTTTCGGATTACGATTATTACAATGATTTTATTCAAACAACTTTACTTTGCACTTTACTTTACTCGACGGTTTCAATTCGCGATCTGATTCACAACTGACTGACTGCCTTTCCATTTCCCCTATTTATATGAGCCTCGCCTGTCGCTACAGAAGTTTCTAGACGATCTGGTAACGCCTAGATTACGAACAATCTACCAATGCAACGAACACATACAAACTTACATTGAGTGAACAATAACAACAACACATACAAACTTACATTGAGTGAACAATAACAACAACACATACACAGGCGAGGGGGGAACAAAGAAAGAGGAATTAAGCGATCATCAATGATGACGTTTAACAAGAATTGTACGTCAGCAACAAAATAGAAAATGAAAGAGGAAATGGAAGGATGTAGAAAAATCTATACAGTAGTTGTTGTTGTGAAGTTATTCAAATAAACTGCGTAGTAGAAATTTACGTTACAATTCAAATTCTTAAATTAACGGAATTCATCTAAATTAACTTAAATCTAAAGTTATATTCGTAACAATATATATGGGAGCTATAGATATATCTCAACCGATTTTCACCAAATTTGATGTAGGATGAATTCGATAGGATGTGCCAAAATTCAGGTCATTTGAACTGATATTGGTCACATTGTGCCCAATTAACCTGAAATCGGTTGAAGATATATATGGGAGTTAAATCCAAATGTTAACCGATTCTCACCAATTTCAGTAGGGTTCGTCCTTGAGCCAAACAAATATTGTTTGTAAAATTTTGATCACAATCGGATAATAAATGCGACCTGCATTTTGTTCACAAAAATACATGGCAAACGGGCGGACGCGTCTGAAATGCATAAATCGACTCAGAAAGTGCTTCTATGAAAATCCTCGTAAGTAAATGGATACATCTCGCTTCCTTCTTAATGTTACAAACAAATTCACAAAGGCATAATACCCTTACCACTATGTGGTGTGGAGTATAATAACTGACCTTATAAAAGCAAAGGCGTATCCGATTTCATTCAAATTTGGAACATTTAAATTTTTGAATCAGCCTTACGTCCGATGAGAATATTCATAAAATCGATTACCTCACAATCTTTCCCACGAAGGCTAACTCTCTTAACAATGCGAAACAATACAACGACTTTCGTCAAACTTCGTAGATATCAATATTTCTACCAACGATAGATCTTGTGTGAATATGGGACTTATCAGATCAACATTTGGAAAAATATTACGTACAGTAAAATATGAAATAAGTGACCGATGTTGCTCAAACTATGTAAGCGCAAAGGTGGAAATGGAACATACGAGTCGCTTTTTGTCTTACCTCCCACAAAATAGATCAACAACTTTGCAAAATAAAACCAGTGAAGAAAGTCTTAAAGTCGAGCGGGGCCGACTTTATGATACCCTACACCACTTTGCCAATTTAGTAGCATAACAATTAAACGTTTTTATGGGAGAATTCAATCATATACGCTATGATTATAATTATAATTTAAAGTTCAAAGGACATAATATGCCGAAGCATTTGTATCTTTTAAATTCGGACTTGTATTGCCCATTTGGTGTACAATTAATTTAAACTGGGATACAAATATATGTGGGAGCTATATCCAAAGCGGAACCGATCTCGATAAAATTTCTGAGCTGTATTTGATATATTTCCCTGAATATCGTTGTTACGGAGTGCATATTACGGCTGTGGGTAACAAATATAACAAATCGGATGAACAGTATATATGGGAGCTATAGCTATATCTGAACCGATCTTCTCCAAATTTGACATACTCAATTCGGTCGTAAGTGCCAAATTTCATCACATGGGCAAATATTAGACATTTGGTGCACAATAAAAGGTAAATCGGACGAAGTTATATATGGGAGCTATATCCAAATCTGAACCGATCTCGATAAAATTTAGCAAAGATATTTCTGAGCTGCATTTGATATATTTCCCCAAATATTGTTGTTACAGAGTGCATATTACGGCTGCGGAGGACAAAAATAACAAATATGATGAATAATATATATGGGAGCTATAGCTATATCTGAACCGATTTCGATCAAATTTGGCATACTTATTTTCAGGCCTAATTTGTATGTGCAAAATTCCACACTATTCGGGCTGATATTACACGTTTGGTGCACAATAAAAAGCAAACCGGACGAAGATATATATGGGAGCTATATCTAAATTTTGACCGATTATCTCCAATTTCAATAGAGTTCGTCTTTGGGCCAAACAAATGATCTGTGCAAAATTTCATCTAGATAGGGCAGTAAATGCGAACTGTACTTTGTTTACACAAATACATTGACAGACGGACGGACGGACATTACAAACAAATGCACAAAGACATAACACCCTGACATATATAGAATAAAAATCTTATATTCAGCGATGGGAGCACATGATATGGTTCGAACTTTGACAATCGTAGTATTTAATAAAACTTGCTCGCGACGAGCAACGTTTCTGAGTACCAGTGCAGCAAAATTATCACCTAAAGCCTACCTACCCTCTGTTTACTGGTTTTCCCTTTCGACTTTTTTATTTGAACGAAATATTTACATAGATATTATGTATTTAAAATTGTTTGCATAATTCTATATACACAATTATGTCAATATAAGTGATAAACACTTCTAATCCTATTAAATATTTTTGCGTATTAAATAAATACTTTGTCAATTTTAATTTTTATTTGTCAAATTAATTCTCCATTTTTTTTTCTTCCCGTTTTTAGTCGGATGACAATTTTTTCACCATCAACAAATTGGCTGCCAACACCGCCTACAACATTTCGGCTCTGGTTGTTCACTCGACGAATAAATACTCCGTCATTGCTCTGGATCAGCAGTTCCAAACGTTGCGACGCTCTTATACACCCGGTAACATTACCGACATTAAGGTATCCGATTTCATCGAAGACAAGGAGAATCGAATGCATTTATCGGCTGTGCTGACATGGAAACCGCCTCCAGGTAAGCCTCTTACTTGTTCTTCATCTTTTTGTTGTGGTGTGATTTTCTGTTTTGAATATTTGCGAGAGTTGGAAATGAACAAAGTAAATAAACGGCGGATATTTATAAGAGATTGTTGCAAAAGATTTTTTGCAATACATTGTTGGTTTTTATTTTAACTGGTGATGGTTTTATGGTACATAGTATTCTATAAGAATCGTATAGCATAAAATAAATGACAGAGAAGAAGAAACCATTCAAGCACTGTCGATTACAATTACAAAGAATTTAATGTTAAATTAGTTTTTTAATGGAATTTTAATTGTAATAAAAATTTTTGAAAATAGATTTTCCAAGATATTTTTTACACCCCTAGTCGTATGACTATTGAGATACATATCATACTCAGAACTCAAATATCAGGAGAAGAAGGCCTACACATCCCATTATTGTACAGGGTGAGATAAAAAAAACTGCAACAAAGTCAAACCTCATAATTTTTACATTTTTTTTAATTTTATTGAATAAAAGCAAAAAATGCCGGAAATAGCATCAAATTTTAGAACAAGTTTAGATTTGTTCGAATTGGTCACCTTTGGCACGAATTATGGCCTTCACACGCTGCCCGTCACACGCTGCCCGAATGTTGCTCTGCGGTATTTTGGTCCATTCCCGGCGAAGCGCTTGCTTAAGGTTATTGACATTTTGGTATTTTTTAGTGCCAACCTAGCTTTACAAAATACTCCAGACTCAATAGTCCAACGGATTGGTATTCAGAGACTTTGGTGGCCATTGCGGCCAAAATGTTTGCGCGCTCAAGGCTTTAATACACCCTCCAAAATATTTTCGAGATAATATTCGGAATTTATTCTGATGCCACGGTCGATTAATACGAGCGGAGAGCGATTATCGGCGGTTATGGCGGCCCACACCATCACCATGGCCGGCACTTGAATTCTGATGGCCAACCGAACAACCGGTGCACATTTTCAGCTGACCTCCTTGGCAAGTAAACACGTTCGTTTTGTTTGTTTACAAACTGCTGGACAACGAATGTTTTCTCATGGGAGACAACCAAATTCGGCAGTTCACCGCTTTCGGCCAAGCGAAGCAACTCTTTAGCTCTTTTGAGTCTATTTTATTTCTGTTGCGGTGTGAGTTCTTGCACTTTTTGGAATTTCAATGGCTTTACCCCGAGCTCATTTTTCAATATTTGCCGAATGGAATATTATGATATATTCAGCTGACGAGCCATTTTCGGCCACTGTGACGCGAATTTCGATCAAGTCGCTTCTTTTCGAACCATTTCTGCTGATGTTGCTGTTTTCTTCCGTCCACTTCCTTGACGTCGGGCTACGAATACGAGCGATGGTACGAGACACATAAGATTTATTCACATTTAAATGCTGGAGTACTCAGGGTATTATGAGTTTGTGCATTTATGTGTAACATGTAGAAGAAAGCTAAATAGATCCATCCGAAGCGAAATAGATCTATCCGAAATAGATCGATTGATAATCTCCATAGAATCGCATTCTGAGTCGATTTATACATGTCCGTCCGGCAATTTATCAATGTATTTTGGTGACCAAAATGCAAGTCACATTCATAGTCCGGTTTAGATAAAATTTCCCACAGATTATTTGTTTGACCCAAGGACGAACCCTTTTTGAAATTGTATAATAGGATCCGATTTGGATATATTGAGGCAAATTGAGCTTAGAATTAAGTTTTTCAAATTTTGTGATAATCGGTTAAAATGTTGCTAAAGCTCCCATGTATAATGTTCATCCGATTTGTTATTTTAGACTCCCATAGCAATAATATGAAAAGATATCAAATACAGCTTGGAGAGACCTCTGCCAAATGTTATCGCCTCAGATTTGGATATAGCTCCCATACAAATCTTTATCCGATTTCATGTTTATTGCACATCAAATGGTTAATATCAGCCCAATTGGATGGAATTCTGCCACTATATGCCAAGTTCAGCCTTAAAGCAACTTAAAGCAATCTAATAAAGCTCAGAAATCCCTTTAATATCGAGGTCGGTTCAGATTTATATATATATATATATATATATATATATATATATATATATATATATATATATATATATATATATATATATATACTAGCTGAACCCGGTGCGCTTCGCAACCCCTTTTGATTTTATATATATATATATATATATATATATATATATATATATATATATATATATATGTATATATATATATATATATACTAGCTGAACCCGGTGCGCTTCGCAACCCCTTTTGATTTTATATGCATTCAAAATTTTATTTACGAATATATGTTGGTTAAAAAAAAACAAATTTTATAATTAAAAAAAATTATTGCACTACTTTAATGCGTAAATATACAAAACCATTAGAAAAACAGTAACATGACATACATACACGAAGGGTTTGTCCTTCGGATTTATTTATTTCATAGCAAATACCAAGCGTGCAGTAAACTGCAATCTTTTGAAGTTGAGTGGCATTTCTGTTGCAATTAATGAATTCGAGATAGCAACATACTTCGCCGTAATAAGCGTATTTCAAATTAATTGTTGTGTTGTTTTTTAGTGTTAGCCTAAGGCGTTGTGGGTCAATGGTTCTTATTAAAATCATATCCCAATCTGATCCGATTTAAATATAATTTTAAAAAATTACTTTTACACCAAATTCCGCCACACCTTTCATATTTCATTGAAATTGGTGCGTCAAATACGTGAAATCGGCCGAGAATATATATATGGGAGCTATATCCAAATCTTAACTAATTTCCAATTAATTTGTCACATTTATTATTGTAACCACACATTTGTTAGCTATACCCAAACCTCAACTGATTTCAATAAAATTTGGCAATTTTTTCTGGTGCCAGATTTCGTCTTTCTCGCTTTGGGTGCATCAAATATGTGAAATCGGCTGAGTATATATATGGGAGCTACAATTAAATCTGAGCGTATTTGAATATAATTTGTCAAATTTATTTTTGTACCAAATTTGGCCACTCATGCCGAATTTCATTGGAATCGGAAATACGTATCGTGTTTTGTGCATCAAATATGTGAAATCGGCGGAAAATATATATGGGAGCTATATCCAAATCTGAACCGATTTCAATATAATTTGAAAAATTCATTTTTGCTCCCGATTCCGTTACTTATTTTAAATTTCATTAAATTTGGACATACATATCTTATTTGGTCCACCAAATACATGAAATCGGCCGAAAATATATATGGGAGCTATATCCAAATCTGAATCGATTACAATATAATTTAGCAAACTTATTTTTGTTCCAAATTCCGTTACACATTCCAAATTTGTAGACTGTATCTTTAACCGATCAATAGATATGTGCTTATAAAATCTAAATTTTTGGGAGCTACCTCCGATTCTGATGCTATATCTCCAGTTCCAAGTGGAAATTCAAAAATGTATATAGCCTATGTTACTTTCAGGCGATGTTGCAGTATATATGGAAATTTTCAGAAAAATCTATTCAGCAGTTTTCGAGTCCATAAATTACAAACAAACAAACAAACAAACGTACAAACATTTTCCTCTTTTATAGATATATATATATAATATATATATACATATACATATATATATATATATATATATATATATATATATATATATATATATATGTCCAGAGACAGTTTCGGGGACAGCAAAATAATTAGAATTTGAATGGATTTTATAATAGTACTTTCTTCAATATACAGGTCTAACTCGATTTCGATTCAACATTTTTAATTGCTAGGCTTGTGGGGCCCTTGATATATCTTGTGACATATTTGGGAACATTATATACGTTGTGGTAATTTTGAACCATTGTCCTTCAAACATTCACAACGTATAAGATCAAATGGGTTGCCACCAAATTGTTAAATTTATGTAGCATTGCGTCATTTTATTATCGGCGTTGATAGAAAACGAATCAGGCGCTGAGAAAATTAGACAAACAGCTGACAAACTGAACTAGTCTGGTTCTAGTTCACATCGTTCCTTTCTCGGAAATGAATTGAACTCGTTTGTTTTATCAAAACACAACACAACATTTTACAAACATTTATAAAATAAATTCAATTAAAACTAGTCCGCAGGTGTTGAAGCAAAATAAAATACCCTACAATGGCATTACCCAGGAAGCTGGTGAAATAATGATAACCTTTCCTTCCGTTATCACGCTGGTTTTAATCATGGCTTCAATGGAACCGAATCTACAAATTTTGCATTGAAACGTTGGATTGAATATGGCAAAAGAGCTTCAATATGTCACTGCCGCAAGGACATGGTGAAAATCTCAATGGAAACGTTTGTGAAACGTTTTCAGCCGATAATTGGTTGAGAGGTGTTGACTACGGTTGTCATCCAGAGTACCCGGACAAAATTTGTCCAGCGCCACCACCCACCATTAATGAATATACATATTTGAAGAGAAAATCCTCCGAATGTTCAGAAAGTTCACAGCAAAAACGTGGTTGTTCCCTAGCTTTGCGGGATGATGCGACAATTTCAAATACTTTGGAAATGGAAAACTCACTCGACGATGGTGGTATGCACTCGGAACACCATTTATTGAAAAAAGTCCCTACCTTAAAGCTGCATAAAATCAATGTAGATTCCAATGATTCACCACAAAGTACTGGTGGTGGTGGTGTTATATAAAAGTCCATTGACTATAATGCTACTGTGGCTGTACAAATTCAACTTATATGGAATGCGTTGCCATGTCCGACAGTTGGAAAAAATCTTCTCACTAATGGTTTTATAAAAAATACCAAACGTATGCGTTTTCAAACTAAAACCATACTCTTGAGTCTTTATTATACCCTTCACCACACTGTGGTACAGGGTATTATGTCTTTGTGCATATGTTTGTAACAGGCAAAAATAATCGAGATAGACCCATGGTTCCTTTTGAGAATATGCATAGAATCACTTTCTGAGTCGATTTATGCATGTCCGTCCGTCTGTCTGTCCATGTTAAATTGT